CGGGCTGGCGTGTGGCAGCACAGAACCCAGCGAGGAGAGGGGCGGGCAGCGCAGCGCAGCACAGCTGGTGTCCGGAGGGAACGCGGTGACACCGGGGGTGACGCTCCCCGCCTCGCTGTAGGGGAAGGTAGCGGTGAGAGGAGGACGAGGCTGTCAGCGCCCGGGGCTTGGCCGTGGCTCTGTGCTGGCGCCAGCGCGCCTGCCGGCTGGATGCTCGTCCCGCTTGGGGAGGATCTTTGCGGGCTGGGAGAGAGTGCTCGTTGGCTGGGTTTTGTAACGAACGATTTGGGGTCCTGTAGAAACAAAAGCATTTGTAAGTGTAGATAGAATAGGAGTGCTTATATTTCACATAGAGAATAACACAGAGAAACAATTGGTATTTAAGGCATCTTCTACCTGAGCCCTTTACGTTGTGTTACCTAGTATTAAAGCTTACTGGTATCACCCACATGAGTTAGTCGGGTGCTGCTAGCGTGGGAAGAATGGACCAGCACTTTTATGCTGTGTGGTATTTCTTCAGCTGTGACTTGCAGAAGCAGACCTGTGGACATTAACAAGTTTGAGATCCTGCCAGCTGAGCTAGTGCTATGTGGGTGAGGGGTGTGGAGGTCAAAAAAAAATGCGAGGGAATTTCTTGCTGCCTTTTGCTGTTGGGAGCAGTGCATGGGAGCAGCATGAGAAAGCAAGTGGGAGGTTTGCAGCTGGCAGCTGGTGACAGGTTGCTGTTATCCAGTCATGGAGGAACCAAACCTTGGTTAACTTGGACAGAGAAAGATGAGTGACAACAGGTTGTGCTCTGACAAGTTGGAGAAACTACCCAACCTTATGCATAGCATAGACTGTAATCATCTTTGTGCCCTTGTGCTAATTCCAGGGGAAGGAAATGCTAGGCTATGCCTTGCTCTAGCTCTCATGGCAGTTTTGGGTTGGAGATGGTCTTCTGACACCTCATGGGGTTTGTATTCTGACCTGTGCTTTTTCACTGACTGTTGTCTGCTTGGCTTTGTCATCCGGGCTGTGTCAGAATCTCACGCTTCTCCAAGGAGCTGAATTGGCCTCGTGTTTTCAAATACGAGTTTTAGTGTAAGTGTTGAGGATTGTGTGAGTCCAGGCATGCTTTCACTGCATTCTTTCAGGCAGAAACCACCTTCAGAAATAGTGTTTGATTTTTGGGCTTTTCATCTAGCAGAGTTGTGAATATAACTTGATTGGAGTACGTGTGCCATGCTTTCAGTATCAGTAAGGAAAAAGTTGCTGCCTTTGAAAACTTCTGTTGTTGCAAATGTTGCTGAATCCCATTGAGAGGAAACAGAAACCTGGTGCAGTGTTAGGAACAAAAGAATTTTTACTCAGGGTACAAAACTTCAAACTCTGCATATACCATGAAGTTGTTTCTGTCTAGATTTACCCGTGTAAGATCACCACCACCTGTTTAGATTTCAAATGTGTTGAGTCAGTGGTGGGGCTTTTGTTTAAGTTTCTCAAGTATAAACTTCATGTACCCTAAAGTTGCACAGTCTCTGTTTAGACCTGTGTGAGGTCTCAAGCAAAATTATTCAATACAGCTTTGGTCTTGTATTTGGCGCTGTAGGACTCCAAGAACTTCAGCGGTTGTTGTTATAGCACCCCTCTGTGGGAGCAGGTGGCATTCACAGAAAAACAGGGCACAGAGACCTCGCAGATTTTAGATTTTTCTGCTAGAATTAGATGCTTTCAGTACTGATGGTTTCAAAATATTGAACTCGGGGGTGTCACTTGCTCCGAGTCCTTCCTGGCCATAGCTTCAGTGAGTTTTATTGATGTTTCCATGGAACAGTTACACTATTTTCCGGTCAGAGACCAAGGTGAATGACTCCATCTGAAAACTTGTGCCAAAATGGCTTATATGTAGGCTGATTTTCAGGCCTGTGACCAGCATTATGGTTGCTTGAATTTCATGACTTTGACAAGTCATGTTGGTTCTTATTGTATATTGAAGTCCCATAGTTACTACTTAAATATATCTGGGTAGTTGGACAGAAAGTATCAGGTAGCATCTTTGTATTAACTTTTTGTCTACTTTTCTCACAGGAGAACCACATCCATGACAAGCTGGTATCTCTTAGCTTGCTTCAGAAAGATTTTGTGCCTTTTCTGCTAAATTTTTTAAGGGAGCAGACCAGCCAGATCCTGACTAATGGACCCCCTACTCCTGCTAAAACTCCTAATTCCAAGGCCCATGGGAGCCAAAGGACAGGGTCAGAAAGGAGGGCAGGCCATGCAACCAGCAGCCGAGTGCAGCTCTTTTCTCAAAGGACTTCAGTGACCACCTGCACCACAGATACCAGCTTTTCTCCTGCTGCAGCATCCAGTGGTTCCTCTTCCTTTTCTGGCTCGAACCTGTCTAGCCCTTGTGGTGATTTCCCCAGCGTGGTCTCCAGCAGCAGCCCGAGCTTTGGGCACAGCCCCGTGCTCCACCAGGGTGAGAAGCGCTCCTCTCAGAAGGCCAGCCTGGGGAGCTTCCTGGCCACGCCCGAAGCCCTGCCCGTGAGACGGGGCCGGAGGAAAGGCAGCAGCTCGGTCGGTGCCTCTGGCCGGCAGGTAGCTCGTGACCTGGGGCGCTCCCTTGCAGAAGAGGAGGATGGAAAGAGTGACAGTGGATCGTGGAGCGGAGGGAGAAGGAAGCGGAGTGAAGTGCCTCTTGTTCCTGCCAGATCCCCGCCCAGCCAGCTCAACCTTAACAACTTGGAGGAGTTTCCGCCCATGGGTGCTGCTTCTGGCTGGACAAAGTAAGAGCAAGTCTGCCTCGCTGTCTCACTGGGACTGGGCTGCAGGTTGCAGCTCC